AATCAGCCCTTATTCAGGACAGCTTTCATAAATCCTTTTTTTGACTTTTATCTTGTACTTTGTAAGTCCTTCTGACTTTCATGAGTTGCAGAAAGTTTCCTGAGGTTAAGCAAGTACTTAAATACTTTTCTGAAGAGGGATGCTTTTGAATGGAGTGGAAAAGACTGCATTTTTCATATATGCAGTCATAGGAAGCTTGCCTCCAGTTCTTTGGTCTACTCCCAGTGTTTTGGGTTCTTTTCTGGCAATAAAAGAGCATGTGTGGGGTTCCGTAGAAATGCCTCTGTCCCCCGAGGACACAAGATGTTACACATACCATCCCGCTCACAACCTTCCTCATCTAGTTCAATTTCAACATGATTTTTGTTGAAAATTAAGCAAGAACATCGGCCTTGTGCCCAGCAGGACCCAAATCCTGAGCTATGTTTCTGGCCTGCCAGATTTCATAGCACAGCACCTTTCTGAGCCTTGTCTCAAGGTATGTCTCCTGTAATGACAGAGCCCTGGTTCAGGGGGGCTCTTGCTCATTTGCATAGTCCTGGTGCTGCAGTTTATTTTCCCAGCAATTCTTCTCCTGCAACTCACTGTGGAATTGTGTCTCTAAACAAATGCACTGGCACAGCAGAGGTGGCAACGTGTGCCCAACGATATAGAAGGTGGGAATCTCTAAAACTGGCTCTGCTCTTGCACTTAAAGCTGAATTCCTGCCCTGCCAAGCTGCTTCCCACACAAGGAGCGAGTTATTAGAGGCTGTGAAGCTGCAGTGAGAATCAGGGAAGGGTTGCAAACAGCTAAGCTTAGATCAGCCAGCGAGCTCTCCTGGAGGCAGGACAGAAAGACATGTGGGACAGAAGAGTTCATATGGGTTTGTACACACTGACTTGGACTTGCAGCCTGGTCTCTGCCACTCCCGGCCTCCCTGGTTCAGGAAAGGATGTTTGTGTGTGCCTTGCACCAACAAGTGCACGTGTGGCATCACTGTGTAGGGCTTACTGGGCAGTGACCAGCACAGTGGAGATGTGGGAGTAGCAACTGGTCACTGGTATATACCATCACCTCCTAGTGGGAGATAAGTAAACACAGCCAGTAGATGACTGGAACAGTAAAGGCAAATATTTTCCTGCCCTCTTGTTGTAATAAGTAGTTACTTATTACATTGGCATCTGTTGTCCAAGCTGTGCAGTACCAGGAGGCAGAAACTTGCAGTGGGGAGGGAGGAGGAGGTGGTGAAGGCTATGGGAAGGGCGAGGATCTGTGAAAACTGTCTGTTGCTTTTGCAAACAGCAGTCAATAAACTGGTTTCCTTTAATAGCCGTAATTGCTGTTGCACTACTTGGGTGATAAACAAGCACGTGGATGCTCAGCTCACACCTTGGCTTGGTGTGGAGACACACCTACTGAGTGTGGGGAAACGGTGCTGTTGTGTGATTAGGTGCTTTTTTGAGCAGATGCCAAAGCAATGCTATTTCAAGATGTTCAACAATTACAGCTCCACCAGCCAAAGCCAGCTGAAGCATCCAAAGATACATTAGGTTTCCCTGCCTGAGGTTAGAGAGGCTGGAGTTAGCACGGGTTCAGGCACAGGTCGGTCTCCACCAGAGAGCTTTGCAGGTTGTACTCAATGTTTTCTACCTGAGATGTGAGAGTTCCCCAGGATTTCACCACTGCAATTGCAAGAGCTGGAGGTGAAGAAGTGTCTCTCCAGGATCAATTTGATACACGGCCAAGAGGCAAACCTTGTTTAAACAAGACTTCCATCGAGGTCACACAGAGGCACTGCGGTCCTGCAAAGTCTTCGAGCCTGCAGCGTTTCTGTATTAATTTTAAAGGACGCTGTTGAAAGCAGTCTCTGAAACTCTGTTATTCCAGCCATTGCGGTAGGAAAGAGCAGGCTGCGATTCGAGAGCAGGGGTGTCTGCAAAAATGTTTACATACAGTAAAGAACTGCTGTCAGTCAATCTAATCCCTTGTATTTTCGTGCCAGCTTGCTAGTGAAAATATGTTGAACCATGTATTTTTTTTATACTGACTTCAGGTATTATTTGCCAAATCTAAGCTTGTTTTGTAATGGAAAATGGGAGATTAGGTGAAAGAGCCAAAAGCTTCAATCCTTGCTCCAATGGTATCATACTGATTTCAGTTTTTCTCAAGCTGTCATGTTTAATGTATGGCCCCTGTGCTTAAACCTGAAGGCTGGAGCTACAGACCTGTGTAGAAGTGACCTAGTTTTCAGTCAAAGTCACTCTCGCTTCTTATTGAATGACAAAATGAGGTACTTCTGCTTTGATGTAATAATTTGGAAATGTTACTCCTTGTTTATGACTACTGAAAGGACAAAACTTTCAAAAGCGTCTAAGTCTTCTTGACAGCTACTGCCATTAGGGCTCATAGGGCACAAACAGTCTCAGGAAGTTCATTCTGTATTTTGCAGACAAAGAATAACCCAGGTCTCCTCCCCGTGGTGCCCAAAGGCTCAGTTCTGCCTGGCCTGGCAGTCGTGCTGGCTGAGAGGAGAGGCTGCAGGAACACCTTGCCTCTCTCAAGCACTGAGGTTTTTTTTTTTCTCCCTGGTTTCACAGAAGATGAGGGGGCTGAGCATCTAGCAGGATGCTGTCAGGCAAAGTCGTGGTGCTGCATCAGTGTGAATGAAAGCAAAATTAGGGCTTTGCTGTCAGGGGGATGAAATAACAGCAAGAATTTCCTGGCAGAGATCTCTTAGCCAGCTTCCCATTAGGTTTCATTCACTTGATGAATTTCAGTGCATACATTCCAATAATATTTCTCTGGGAAATGAAGGGCTGTATTCAGTCAGCCAAGTTGCACCTTAATCTCTGTGCCTAGTCAGCAGAAAAAAAGGTAGGTCCTCTGAAGAGTAACCGAGGGCTTAAGTATGACACTGCACAGGGAAGCTGTCAAGAGCCAGGTGACAGGAGGTACCCAGCAGAGAGACTTAGCCTGGCTGAGTCTGTTGGATATCAAGGTGATGAATACACAGGAATCTTCTCTCGCATTTCCTTCCTTTCTGTATCAGCGTCCTGTGCAGGCAGTGCCACGGCTCGCTGTGCCGCAGAGCCCAGAGCCCGGGGGATAACAGCCTGGCTTTGCTTCACCCCCCACCCCTTCCGCATTTCGGAATGTTTGGCAGATCTGCCAGCCCCAGCCGTGGTCTCTTTAGGTGACCCAGGACCAGGGCTGAAATGCCAGACCATTACGTGTAGGTGGAGGCAGAAGATTTGGATGGTGCCTTCAATTTTCAGGGGCATGTATAGAATAACGAGTCATTAATCCAGCACTGGCCACAGTGTCTCTGCTGGGCTGCCTGGGTCTGGGAGAGGAGGGACACGAAAAGCCATGACGCCTCAGCTGCAGAAAGTTAATACTCTCCACCGTGGAATGAGCAATATCTCCATTTCTTCAGTATTTGGAGCTATAATAATAGACCCTGAACTCTGAACATCAGACTGTCTGGCAAGGGCATTGATAACTTGACAAATCTATTGACTAGGGTAGATGGCAAAGGATGAAATCACTGCTCCACACTAATCGTTTCGAAACCTTCAGTGATACTAAAGAACATTTGTAAGGCACAGCAAGTTAAATACGCTACATGACCTAGCCTCACCCTTGCTAATTAGTATTAGACAGATACCGGAGCATCTTTGCATTGCTACTTGTGTGTTTGCTGTGTGTCTCTAAAATCCTTCTGGTTTCGATGGATGTGCTTTCAAGTTGTCTAGCATGAGCAAATACTTTGAAGCAAGTGCTAATCAAAGACCTAGAGCAGGAGTTTCCACATCAACCAACGTATTTTTTTAAGTTTAAATATATTAAGATCAAAGCCATTTATTGCAGTGAATACACTGTTTAAAAATGTATTCAAAACCTCAATCAAAAGAAAGTTGAGGAGTTCACTAGCTGTAAACTGCTGTCATTATTTTATGTTGTCAGTTCATTTAATATTTCACTGTTAATGTACCAAAAATGTCTAACTTGTAGCCTTCAAACTGTTTTGTGGTTGCTGATGTTGCAATGACAGATGGTACTTTTAAATGAACAAGTTATGTTTTTGTTGCCAAAGCTGGATTTTAAATAGTCACCTGTCGAATTCAGCAAAACTTTTGTAATTTCATTGCTACTTCTGCTATAGTTCTAGTCTAATTCTACACAAACTTTTCCCAGTAAAAATACTGGGAAGGTTCATTCAACTTCAGTTGCTCTCACTTGATTCCATTCCAGTAAAAGTAAAGTATCATCGGTAAAACCGGAATCTTCAAAGATAAGTATTTGTGTGTCTTTAAAAAAGAAGTGTCTATTAGACGGGGCTTTTTTATGATCCCTATCTGTAGCTGTATGGTGCCTATGTAAGAGTCAATTTAATCACCAAAGTGAAGCAACTGCAGAAACCGGAATGGTAAAATTAACAGAATTTGGGTCAAAAGGTAAAATTCCAAACTCCAACTAAAGTTACAGACTCTGCTTGAAACCTATTCTTTAGCTGAAATTTCATCTTTAAGAGTGCTCTGTAGCATCAGGTAATGTTACAAGTTATAAAGTTAAGGACAATATATACACATTTGAAACCACGAAGAAATACCAATCCCCAAAGAAATCAACGACAACACTTACACTGTAGGAGCACTGTAGATGCCTCAAGCCCAAGATGGAGTTTTGCCCCTCAAGGACTGATGCTGATGCCCACCTGCAACTTGCAGCAGCCCATGGTGGCAAATAAATGGGAAAGAGAATTGTCTGTCCCATGAGCAGCTGAGTTCCATGTGGTCTGTCCTGCACACACCTGGGGAAGACCAGGTCAATGGCAGGTCAGGATGGCAGTAGGTTCTCCTCTGTTAAAACCCACCTCAGTCACAATATACTTGCCTTATATTTGCTGATGCCTGAAATGCTGTTGCTAAATTGAATATGCTGTTTGTACTTGCAGCTCTGAAGCCTTTGTGGGTTGATTGCCAAGTTAATGATTTATACCTTAATGCTCCATTTAGGGCCCTCGTGTTTATCGCTCATGGCGCTGGGGAACACTGCGGCCGCTATGATGACTTGGCCCAGAGGCTGACAGGACTTAACTTGTTTGTTTTTGCCCATGACCATGGTGAGTAGCCTAAAACTGTACTTGATTTACAGCAGCTCAGGACTTTACTGAAGCAAATGCTATTAAGGCCACTCAGCAGAGAGAGAAGAGTTAATAAAATATTTACACCTTAGCGTAAGTGAGAAAGGGATCATCTGTTGCTTTCTAAAGATCTGTATATTGAATATTGTAAAAAAGCTATCCCTATTCCTTGAGTTTTCCTCAATCTTGTCATTGATATTATGGTGCTATTTTAACGTCTGTCTAAGGATTATTTCTCTTTCACCTGTCTCTTGGGGATGAGGAGTTATTATCTGCTGTGAAAGTTGGACTAGGAGCCATTTCTGTTGGATCCATGCTTGTTGTCCTAAATGATCCCAGAGGGGAGGCTGTAATGACAGCACAGCTTTCACACACCAGTACAACTAGACTGCTGCACCCCTGGGACACGGACAGGCGTGGAGACATCACAGGTCTTTCTTTGGCCACGTTTCCACAGCCCAGCAGAGGCACTGGAGATGGCTGTACACACCTCAACTCTGACGAGAAAGCAGTTTGAGGAGTGCATTCAAGGCTGATACTGGCCCTCAGCCAGTTGGTCTGGGCAGTGCTGTGTCATGTAGGCTTACTGTCCCAGCCTCTTCTGGCTTGAAGACCTCTGCTCTGTGCTCCATTCTGTGGCATAGGTGTGCTGGGTATCATCAGATCTCCTGCAGGATGTGAACTCGGACATCCCAATAGCATATTTGAACCATCTGTTCTGATTCTCTGGTAGCCTCCTGTCACACCCAACTTTTACAACTTCATTAATTCCTTGTGCATAGAAGCCTTTGCTTTGTTTTTATCATTGCAGACTGCTGCCTCCCTGCTAGAGTCACTCTAGATATTAGCAAAGTGAATCAATGGGATTAATGATGGGAGTGGAACAAAAAGCGAGGCCAAATTCTGAGCTGACAGGTTGAAATGGGATGAATCTCAGTGTAAATTGGATCTCCTTCTGGCAGATGCCCCACTAACATTGGAAAGTATACTGCAGTTTACTTGGCTGAAGCTGAGACTCAAATCTGCCCCTAGATCTCCTCAAAAACAGGACTGCTGAATTTGAGCTTGAAGATCCTGAATGTGGTAGGAGCTAGAGCATGTGAGGCATTGCACCATTTAGTCTGTGAGAGGAAAGGAAAAACCTTACCAAATCTAGGTGACCAAGGCTTCCCCTTGCACTGGCTCTCATGACTGCCTTTCAATCACAGCTCTGCACTTGATATGCAAAAATGAACCCTATATTTTCCCTGAAAAAGAGAATACCTAGTCCTCAGGACAGCTTGCAAGGGAAATAAATAAATCCCATATGATTCTTCTGACAACTGACCACATGCCACATTCAGGGGTGGCTTTGCAAAGACCTTTGTCTGATGAAGAAGTATCATTGCCGACCATATGAGTCTCTTTTTCCTACAATATTTCCAAGTGTTCCCGTTTTCGTTTTGATACACTTCCTTCTGAGTTGGACATAGGCTAGCAGGAGCCTGCAGTAATCTGGTAGAAAGTGTCTCCATTCTTCTCAGTTTATCTGTATGGTGTAAAGTTTATGATAAAGGCAATGGAACAGGCCACGTGTTGTCCACCCTGCAGCTGCTGTGAGTAGATCACAGAAAATATATACAAAAAGTTACTGAACTCCAGGACACAGAAGCAATTTGTTCAGAGCCACCGTGGGCCTACGAGAGACTGTGGTTGCTCCCCGTGCATGCTTAATGTCGCGCCTTAGTTCCTCATTCCCTTAAAACCTGATAAAGGTTTCAAGAAGTAGAGTTCAAATAACAATATTTGAAGTAACAAAAGAAATGATAAAACAATGTATTTATTGCATGGATTTGATACAGAGAATGCCTCTTCTGGTGATGGAGAAGAGCCTTTGGGGTGAAGGTTCCTGTCAGGCATGTTTGATCAAAGAGACCGTTACCTACTCTCTTTTTCCTTTAATATCTTTTTGACTAGAGATGCATAAATATTTCATGTGGGTTTTTTTCTATAGACTGATGTTGCTGGATTAATTAGTTCACTTCAATTAGTACAAATCTGGTTGCTCAGGCCAGTTAACAACTTCATTCTCCCTGTCAAACCTGCCGTTTGCTTTCTAAAGTCAGTTTGGTTTTTCTTCATCAGCAATGGGGAGAAGGCAAAGAGGAACCCAAAAGCAGAACAATGGAAACACAGTTATGTTACACAAAGAGCTAATTTAACTGAGCCTAGATTCACTGTAAGTTAGAAAGACAACTAACGTATTTTAGGGTCTGTAAATTAATCTTTGTGCCTCTAAAGGTAAGTGGTGAGGATAAACTTTGGTGGAATACAACCCAAGCTGGATACCAGCGAGAGCTGAAGGACATAAACACCTCTGTTGCCAAATTTGCTCAGATCAGACCAGGAAATTTATAGCTTTCCTCCCTCATTTTGTCCTTTCCAAATCACTTCACCAATGTGTTCCCTCTTTGCATCCCATCCTTTGGATATCTTTGGGTAATATTAATTATTTAATTGTGTTTTAGCAAAATAATTGTTTTCTGTTCCCCCCATCTCTTACAGTGGCTCTTACTCTTATGAGCTTGGTGTAGATTTCCCAACCTGGACTTTTATTCTGATTCTGGTATTTTCATGGATAAAATTCCCAATATAGGAGCATTATCTGTGAGATTATTAATGCAGTTCCACAGCGTGGCTAGCGTGATTTCCCAAATGAGTTGGGAAGTTACTAGGGCTGCAGTATGCGTGACTCGACTCATTTATATTGTGTCTATCCTTCAGTCAAAAGAAGGAAAAATGATTTCCATTTAAATTGCTGAGTCTGTAGGAGCTTATGCACTGGCTCTAGATCTTGCCGAAGGCTGCTCTGCACCACAGTTTCCTGTTATGCAAGGTTTCAGCAAAAAGGTTGGCGCTTCACAGAGTTAACAGTATTCACCCAAATTTGTGTCTTAGTATTGCCCCTTATAAGGTATCACTGGCTCAGTTCCCTTAGTATGTCATTTACTCTTTAGGGTATTTCATAGTAATCCCGAGACCGCTGGACCTCATAGATATATATTAGAAAATTTCCACAGTGGTGGTGAAAATTTAATTCCAGAAGACCTCTTAACCTTACATCTAATATTGTTAAATTGCTTTGTTTTAGATCAATCCCACGAAAGAGGAAATGGTATTTCTTTGTAATACAGCATTTTTTTCTGTGGTCTCTTATATGGTGTTTTTAATAGGCAGGTAACAGTTTCCCATGGTTTCTGGGTTTACTTGGCGTGCAGCTTCATGAAGGCAGAGTTAAGGCTGCTGGGATGACCTTGCTATACACTTCTGCAAGCTTTAGGTATTTTGAAATGACATCTCACTTTTCCCATTTCTTTTCTATATCACTATTCCTTTATTATGGCAACATTCTGATGACAGAAAAAAGAGACAGGCAGACACATTAGGTTATTGGCAATCAATTTAGGAAAGCCCTCTTGGAAGGAATACCCCTGGGAGATTCATCAAAGTGGAGTGATATTGTAATTCTTCAGTCACAGACAGATTGCAGCTCCTTTAGTTATAATGCAGTATTTTTAGGGATCTGTAAAGCTGAGACCCAAGGAAAATGAGAATAAAGGCTAGAGAATGTGTCTTTGTTTTCTCATACCAAGCATTTTCAATTGGTAAAGCACATGATGTTCCAGCTATCCTCATCTCTCTTCCTGAAACATCTCATTTGCTGAGATCTTACTCTCTACGGTTGCATTACATGGCCAGAGCCCAGAACAACCGCAATTTCACCTTCAAAAGTACATGTCAACTAACAGCAGTTACAAAAGCAATTCCAAGATGCAAGAGCCACAAAAATTCATTTGCTTCTCTCTTACATTTTCTAACACTAGTGGCACTGACCTTCTTTTTCACTTGGACTTGCTGATGCTTCTTACGGGTAATGTGGCTCTCTTATGGGAAGATGAGGAAGGTGAAATACTTAGCTCTAAGCCAGCAGCAATTCCTATCCCTTAGGGGCTTGAGGACAGCCCTTCTGACGTGTCTCTCTCTCCAGGCAGAGTAAAACCTCTACCTGTCCTGCTACATGGAGACCTCCGACACTTTGACCCTCTTTGAAGCTGTTGCATTTCCCACTCTTGAGTTACATGTAATGTCAGATCAAAGCAAAGGGAAAGGTTGCAGCTCTAACTGTTTATTCATATTCCTTAGATGTTCCTAACTGAAGTTCAGCTTTCTTTTTCAGCCCCGCTGCTACTTTGTGTGTGGTGAGCATTTCTGATGGGTTAGCGGGTCCCTCTCAGACACCTACTGCTGCTTGTGCTCCCCGCTCATTTTCTCACCGTTTTCTCTATTTAACAAAGGACTTATTTCTAAGAAAGTAGAAAAAACCCGGAGCAGAGATTTTTAAATGCATCAAATATTAGCTGTTTTGGTTTTGTTTTTTTTCCAAGTGATGGCTGTGTTGTTCTTGCAACTGTTAAAAGACCATTTTGTTGATGAGAACAGAAGGCTTTTATTTATTCATAGCACTGGGAAGGATTGATCTGCGCAGAAAGGTTAAAAAGGACTAAACATGGTCAAACTGGGAGGGGGGGGAAATGACTAAGAAGGATGTCAGCATTAATAAGAGCAAGCATTAGGGTAGTGCTGGAAGTGAGAAGTAACAGCTCATGCAGCCCAGCGCAAGGGAATGTTCCTGGAGAGCAGTGCTCCCTGATGATGTGATCAGGCAGGCTTCAGGGCTATCTCCAGGGATGGAGTCAGGAAAGCCTTGGCAAGCGTTACTCGGAGCTGGTTTGCTCGCAGAGCAGCACAACTGTTCCTTGGTAGCTGCTCACGAGGCTGGGTGTGGGCCCATTACCCACAGCAATCTGCGCTCTTTCTGCTTCCCCTGGTTGACTCCACCTCACCAGAGCAGGCAAAGTTTAAACTGCTTTTTTGCAGAAACATAAGAAAGAGTGGGACTGATCGTTTGCCTTGCCTTTGACAGGAGGCTTACAGTGGCT